ACTAGTGAGGAAGAAGGGGTCACAGAGAAAGGGTAAAGGAATGGACAATAAGAAAGTCAGTATTATGTTACATTCACGGGGAAGCGCTAAACTCGTATGGGTTATACAGTGCCTGAGGTAGTCAAGCTTGATTCAAGAAAGACAAGGGGCAACTCCACTGCGGTGAATCAAGAGCTCTCCACCAAAATTCAAGTACCTCCTAAAAGGAAGGCTGAGGAATAACGAAAAAAAAATGAAGAGGGAGAGGATGAAGGAGGGAAAGGGTAGGGAGAAAAAGAAAGAGGGGAATAGAAGAGATCGGAATAGAAACTTCCTTAAATGGGAACTAGGGTGTATTTAGAAAGAGGAAGAGAGGTAATGAAAAGAAATGGAACGTAGGTACAATAGGGTGGAAGAGCAGCAAACGGAAAATAAGGGGAAAAATAAAAGAAATTAAAATAACATAACGAGAGAAGAGTGAAACGAACACAAGAAAAAAAAAGACAGAAGGTAATCAGAGAGCAATGAAAACCTGGAAGAAAACCAAGCGAGAGAAGACAGGAGGGAAGGGGAACAAGACAGAAGCTTATCAAGAAGGAACAGAAGCTGGATGGGAAAAATTACGAGTGAACGGAAGACGAGAAAAATCATGAGAGGCAGGAGTAGGACAGAAAAAAATTCCAAGAAGCGAAGCAAAGGAAAAAAAAAATAGCGTAGAATGGAGGAGAGAACGAGGAGCGAGGAAGAAAAGAACGTAATAAGAGATAAATCCTCCCTCTCCTTCCAAGGTGTGAAAAAGACTAACAAGAGGGAAGGTGGGATACATAAAGCTGTAAAGAAAAAAAATAAAAGGTAAAGCAACTTAACGGAAGGAGAAAAGTGAAGAGAAAGCAAGAGGATAAAAGAAAAAATAGCATCAAGCAAAGTGAAAAATATTGCAACAGAACAGTTTGAAAAGTGAAAGAAAATACGACTGAAAATAAAATAAAAACAAAATGACGGGAGGGTAAACAGGACATAAATGAATAACTAAACATGAAAAGGAAGAACAAGAAATAAAGTTAAATTCAGCGTGAGGGGGAAAAACCATTGTGTTTGTGTGTGGTGTAGAGGCGAGGGCAGGGAGAGGTGTCTCGTTGACTTAGTCACACTGACCTCCATCACATCATTACTTGGCTACACTGCTGACATCTCTCATCCCTCTCACCAATCTAACTCATCTCGTCAGTGCTTAAAGTCTAAATCTAAATTAAATCGTCAGCATTCTCTTAGATGAAGAACATGTGTAATACCACAGTGCTGGAAGGAAGAGACTTAGAAGATACAAGAGTATTTATTGTATTTATAATTATAATATTTGCGGAGAAGTATAGAAAGTCTATATGCAAGTTTATTAAACATCTATACACAGATATTCGAAAGAGACAGCCAGGTACAGTAAAGCTATAGATCAGTATCCCTGATACACGTATGTAAAGTAATGGTGAAGATCTGATCATCAGGAGTGATGGAGCACCTGGAGAAGAGTACTTTAATAAATAACAATCAGCACCGGGCTCAGAGATGGTAAATCCTCTCTCACAAACGTGCTGATAAAGTAACAGGAGGAGGAGAGGAGTAAGTGGCCTGCATATACAGCGACTGTTAGAAAGCATTTGACACTACTGCAGAAGAGACTGGTCAAGAACATAAATTAGCAGGCAGGGATGACAAGGAATGTACTACGGTGGACCTGAGACAAAGAGTGATTGTTCAAACAAAGTTATCAGAATACACGGATGTAAGACGTGAGGTAATGGGAACTGTATGATTTCCGATGTATCTCTGTTCACGGATATCATATTAATGATAATAAAAAGCGGAAAAACAAGAAAATTCTGCAAGCGAACCTGGACAACCTGCAGGGCTGGTCAGACAAGCAGCTACTGAAACTCAACCCCAGCACACGCATTCTTTGACAATGGATGAAGAGGAAACAGAAGCAGAAACTAGGTAGAGATCCTGGGTACATTATTAATATATTTCTAGGTGTTCACTAAACCCTTAGGGATCATACAGCACCTGTGGAATGAGATTCAATTAAACTATGGAAACAGGCTGCTAACCGCACTAAAGAAGGACCTCGGGGTGACTGTAATAATGACCATATTCAGAGAGTTGCACATTAACCGAATAACCTTTACATCGAATGCAGTTTTTACGAATTTAAGCTGAGCATTCATGAATCTCAACAAGAAGTTATTCATGACTAACTGAATGACATGTTTCAAACGTATCTTGGAGTCTGCAGCACCAGCTTGGAGCCCACACCTCATAAAGCAAGTCAAGAGAGTGGATAAAGTGCAGGGATTCGCAACGAGATTAGTACTAGAACTAGAAGAACTGAACTGTAAGAAGATAGCAACATATAAAATACTAAGAGAACTGACAGGAGTGGCTAGGGATAGCCTGGCCGAGAGTCTGAAAGAGGTACATAAGGGCACAGATGGAAGCTAAAGTCACGGTTGAGTCCAACAAATGTTAGCAAATATTTTCATAGACTCAGGATGTTCAGGAAGTGGAAAGACCTGTATGAAGAAGCGGTGGAAGACTCATACACAGCTCTAAGAATATGTATGATACAGTTCACGAGGGTGGGATGGAATGAACGCTGTAACCGAAAGTTAAGAAGCAGGGCCTTGAGCTGGGACTCAATTACTGTAACCATAAACTGATAATATTACACACACACACACACACACACACGTTTACAAGAGACAGGAGTAACTCAAACGTTTCAAGCAGGAAAAAAAATGTTGTTTATTCTCATTCAAAAACAAAACATCAAAAGTATTTCTAAATTATACCTCGTTTAGATTTTCTTTCATATTCGTATTTTTATAACGGCAATAAGAGAGTTTGGGTTTTTAATGATAATGTTCACAATGGCTCTACATTTTTATGAGCGAGTGTTGATTTTATTTACAAACTCAGACCAGCTGTAAATTTTCAATAGAATTTTTAACTAATGAAAAAAGTGGATTTTATACCTAAACTCATGCAACTTTAAATGAACTAGAAATTTTGACTAACTGTTTTTTGTTACGCGAGTGTGTGTGTTATGTACGAAATCATACCAAGGACAAATTTTCCGTTCGAGAAGCAGCTGATTTTATAAATGGAACTATTACAAATTACTGACATGTTTTTAACTTTGGACTGCGTGTTAGGTAAAGCAAAACACCCACAAATTCAAATACAAATTAACAGGAAATATTTCCAGAGCGTCCCCTACACGCCATCTCTTCTACAGCCCCCCACACTCCATCCCGTCTACGTTCCTCCACTTTATAAACTCCGAGGCCCTCTGGTCTTTTCCCACCTTAGCCCTTCACTCCATTCCCTCTGCATTTCTTCACTCCATTTCCTCTGCAGTCCTTTACTTCATTCCCTCTGTAGTCCTATCATCCAATACCCAGTCTGTCTCATCCCTTTCAAGGCCTTCCACTCTCTTCCAAGTGCCTACAGTTAGCCTGCACACTTCACACCCAAACGTACGCCTTCACTACCCTCCACACCCGCACACTCCCAATACCCCACATACGCCTCCACACCCTCAAACACGCCTTTCTGCTCCTCGCCACGCCCTTTTCCCAGCAGGACGCCATCATAAAAAGCGGGAAATTGGTCAGAAACTGTTTCGAGGGAAAATGTTACAGATTGGTGATGAATATGTAGAGGAGAATAACTGGTGCAGGTGGTGTAGAGATGTAGGTGTTGTAGAGAAAACTGTAGAGTTGGGGTCTGGTGTGAGTGGTGCACGCGGTGTAGATGTATGTATGTGGTGTTATGAGAGGTGTAGTGGAGTGGTCTGGTGCAAGTGGTGAAGGAAGAGAAGGTGGGGTGGCGGGGTCTTTAGCAAGTGGTTAGTGAGAGAAGGTGTTGCGGAGGGATTTAGTGAAAGTGGTTGTAGGAAGAGATATGGTGGAGGGATTTGGTGCAAGGGCACTGATCTTTCCTAACTCGCTCATTAATCGCAACACTGTTGAATCTATCTGGGAGAAGGCTATCAATCCTAGACCAGGTATGTACAAGCTGGATTCACTAGCTGTTAAAAATATTAAATATTTTTTAACAAACCATCACGATGAAATGAGAGCATAACTAAAGACAGAGCAAATGAATATGTTACCAGAAAAGTGCTTTCAAATTAGAAAGTCATATTTAGAAAGGAATAAGAAGGCTGTCTTCTAGCAGTTGTGTTATAGTTGATATACTTCAGCTGTATATTTGTAAAAGACGTTGATAATGAGTAATGTTTCTAGACTGAACAGATAGTGTCACACCAGTAGAACAAACAGCGAGTGTGATGTGTAGGCTATGGCAAATAATAGATTATATATATATCTTGTAGTGCATTCCCAGTAGAACAGCAGAGAAGACAGTCCATCAGTGCCATGTATGATACGCGCAGTAAGACCTCACGACGCTGGTATGATCATCCAGCATGGAAAAGTTAAGACTACCAGGGAAAGCCAAGGTGTCACACCCTTGTGATAAAGACTAGAGTTTTTTCTACACACCCCTCTCTCTCCCTCTCTCTCTCTCTCCCTATATCTCTCCCTACCTCTCTTTCTCTCCCTCCCTCCCTAGACACGAGGGGTCAGGACAAACCACAAACCGGGTTTGATACAGGTCTCCAAGGGTCACACGTGCTTCGTAAATTTATTTCAATAGGACCTGAAAAATACTGTGTGGATGACCTAAAGAGACCAGGTTAACTGAAAAAATTTTTTTTAGTAAAGTGAATCAGAGAGTGAGACAAGGTCATGCAAGACCAAGCTATCTCACACAACCTTACATAAGGTTTCAAGAGGTCATCGGAGGAAATAAAAAGTCGAACAGAGGCCAAAGTTCAGGAAATATTAAAAAAAAATAAGAGTCCACGAGCCTGAAGACTCCACAGGAGAACTTAGATAAGTCGGTGGTAAAAGGCTAGAAGAGGAGGAGGAGGAGGAGGAGGAGGAGGAGGAGGAGGAGGAGGAGGAGGAGGAGGAGGAGGAGGAAGAGACTAGGAGAGAGAGAGAGAGAGGGAGAGGAGGTCGTGTGGAGATCCATGCCTGAGATGAGGTCTGGCGAGTGTATCTTGGAGACGACGATCAAGACAATGGTGGCCAGGAGACACTGGTGTTTCTCCGCTCTCAAGCTGTGCTTGCTGGCGACGGTGGTTCACCACGCACAAGGTAAGTGATGCTTTAAGTGTGTTTTAGTAAGCTGTAGCGAGTTGTAATGTGTAGTCGAATTGTTTAATGAAGTGGAATGCTATCTCAAGATTTATTAAAGAACCTAACTAGCAGCCATTGTTCAATATGGCTACCAAATTCGACAATTTGTATTTCCAGGATGCCACCCATCATTAAAGATGTCTAGTGCAAGTGTGGTAAATAACACATTTTTATCATAAACAGCAAGATATACAGTATTCCTATATTAGAATCTATCAACTGGACTATGTTGCAGGAAGGCTGTAGGTGCCTAGAATAAGAAGTGTTGCTTATCTCATGTATACCAAGTTAATGCTTCCTCTGACTCACAATACTACTACTGACTTAAAATACCACTGACTTAAAGCACAAACGCATTACAGTACCACTGACTAATGAAGCTTAATTTACCCTTTAAACTACATATTATTTTCTGCAATACGATCACAGCAAATAAGTGATATCACAATCTGCAAAACAACCACAGTGAAAAAAATAGTGAAATTCCAAGGGTTTCCGTGATTTCCTCACATTACCAAAGAACTGTGACATTTCCCTGATAATGTGAGAAATCACGAAAGCGCTAAGAATTTTACTATTTTTCACTGTGGTTGCTTTGCATATTATTTTATATAGTGATTGCACTGGTTATGAAGACCATGTCAGGAAATGTAATCCACATTTAGATTGTCCACTTCTAGAATGTTCATTCAAGAGTCATATGTGTGTAAGTTTTTTTTTCATAACTTGCAGCTCCGAAAGGCGTAATTTACGTAAGACTTCATCATATGTCTCTGTAAGCTTCACAAGATTTTCGACAGCATAACACCTCACTGAAAAGAGGGCTCGAACCCATGGCAAGCCAGTCCTAAAACTAGCAAGCCAGTGTGTTATCTACTGGACGAAACCGGCCTAATGATATTCATCCAACTAGGTAAATTTCTGTACACTACAGGGAAATTAACATTGGCCCCACAGTGGCTACAGTCATGTCATTACGATTTTGAGAGTTATTCATAACTGCATAACATGTTGTATTATCAGAGAAATAATATAAAATACTGACACGAGTGAAAAAAAAAACAGAAACACAAATGCAGTTTAATGTGATCCTTTATTAACAACGTCTCTATGGGTGAAAAGTTGTCAGTAATCACATTATTCTGCATATGTGTCTCATTTTCCAACGTCATATTACTGCAAGTCCACTGATGGAGGGAGACTTTCGTGTTTTAGAATGTAACTGTTTAATGCAGTTATACTGTGAGAGATACTGAGAGGGAGGATCGGGGGAGGTTTCTTCAATCATCTTAACGCAGAGTTTCTAAAACCTGGGTTTTGTAAAACTCTTTAAAAAGAACCGTGGTAAGGTAAAGGGTGAGGGTCACCTGCATTATACAATCAAATAAAATCTAATTAGTGTTGTATTATATATTGTTACCACTACTTTCATCAGTGTTGTTTATCTTGTGTGTGATTTCTAATGAAAGTTCTTAAGTACTTTCGCATATAATCTGCCAACACAAAACCTTATGTGCGCACAATATTCACAAGGTCTGTTACAACTAATTGCTATTGTAATTATTATTATTATCATTATTATTAAAAGTAGTAGCAAAAGCTGTGGTAGTGGTGGTGGTAGTAGTAGTAGTAGTAGCACGTATCTACCACATCTGCTAGAAAAATGATAGGATGGATAATGAGAACCTTCAAAACTAGGGATGCCAAGCCTATGATGATTCTCTTCAAATCGCTTGTTCTCTCTAAGCTGGAATACTGTACACTAACAGCGCCTTTTAAGGCCGGCGAAACTGCTGACTGGAGAATGTATAGAGAACCTTCTTGGTACACATAAGTACGATAAAACACCTAAATTACTGGGAACGGTTGAAGCCCCTTGATATGTATTTCCTGGAACGCAGGCGAGAAAGATACATAATGATATATACCTGGAAAATCCTTGAGGGATTAGTACCAAACTTGCACACGAAAATCACTTGCTATGAAAGCAAAAGATTCGAAGGAGATGCAACACCCCCCAGTGAAAAGCAGGGGAGCATGAGTACACTAAGAGACAACACAGTAAGTGTCAGGGGCCCAAGACTGTTCAACGGCCTTCCACCACCCTCTCCCCGTGAAGGTCACCATCCTCTCCCCGTGAAGAGCGCTACACTCTCCCCGTGAAGGCCACCACACACTCCCCGTGAAGGTCACCATCCTCTCCCCGTGAAGGTCACCACACACTCCCCGTGAATTTCAGCATCTCCCCGTGAAGAGCACTACACTCTCCCCGTGAAGGTCACCATCTTCTCCTCGTGAAGGTCACCACACACTCCCCGTGATGGTCACCATCCTCTCCCCATGCAGGTCACCACACACTCCCCATGAAGGTCACCATCCTCTCCCCATGCAGGTCACCACACACTCCCCATGAAGGTCACCATCCTCTCCCCATGTAGGTCACCACACACTCCCCATGAAGGTCACCATCCTCTCCCCGTGCAGGTCACCACACACTCCCCATGAAGGTCACCATCCTCTCCCCATGCAGGTCACTACACACTCCCCATGAAGATCACCATCCTCTCCCCATGCAGGTCACCACACACTCCCCATGAAGGTCACCATCCTCTCCCCATGCAGGTCACCACACACTCCCCATGAAGGTCACCATCTTCTCCCCATGCAGGTCACCACACACTCCCCATGAAGGTCACCATCTTCTCCCCGTGAAGGTCACCACACACTCCCCATGGTCACCATCCTCTCCCCGTGAAGAGCACCACACTCTCCCCGTGAAGAGCACCACACTCTCCCCGTGAAGAGCACCACACTCTCCCCGTGAAGAGCACCTCACTCTCCCCGTGAAGAGCACCACACTCTCCCCGTGAAGAGCACCACACTCTCCCCGTGAAGAGCACCACACTTCCCGTGAAGAGCACCACACTCTCACCGTGAAGAGCACCACACTCTCCCCGTGATGAGCACCACACTCTCCCCGTGATGAGCACACACTCTCCCCCTGAAGAGCACCACACTCTCCCCGTGAAGGTCACCACACTCTCCCCGTGAAGAGCACCACACTCTCCCCGTAAAGAGCACCACACTCTCCCCGTGAAGAGCACCACACTCTCCCCGTGAAGAGCACCACACTCTCCCCGTGAAGAGCACCACACTCTCCCCGTGAAGAGCACCACACTCTCCCCGTGAAGAGCACCACACTCTCCCCGTGAAGGTCACCACACTCTCCCCGTGAAGAGCACCACACTCTCCCCGTGAAGAGCACCACACTCTCCCCGTGAAGAGCACCACACCTCTCCCGTGAAGAGCACCACACTCTCCCCGTGAAGAGCACCACACTCTCCCCGTGAAGAGCACCACACTCTCCCCGTGAAGGTCACCACACACTTCCTGTGAAGGTCATAAACTGACCCGTGAATCTAGGCTTTGATCACCTAACTTGTCAATTGCTGACAAAGTCTTGATCGTCATGTTTTGTGTGTTCCAGTGTTTGTGTTTAGTGATGGGGTCAATATAACATTACCCATCTAGTTTATTTGTCGAGTTGGGTGCCCAATGATGACAGCGAAACTATCACGTTTAATGAGAACCGTTGAAGGATCGAATGCTTCTTGTCTCCATATGTTTTTGTTTTTGTTATGGTGTTTGATTATACATGTGCTTGTTTTGCATGTACGACTGGCTGTATGTATATTTCTTAAAACAAGTACGTATGAAGACGTCAGTCAGTTTGTTTGGTTTTTATAAAGCACGTGGATCTTAATATTAAGATTGCAAGTCACCCGAACACTAACACTCAAAATTGGGATTAAAATATCTCTCGGTACGTACATACTGAGATACAAATATCTCGGTGTATATACAGTGAGAGATACAGAAATCTGGGTTTATACACACTGTGGATGTACAAAGTACGTGTGGCGATGCTGTCGTTGTCAGAAGAAATGGGGGAAAAAAAAATTGGTTACCCTGATCTCGCTAACATGATGACCCACTCAGTGGAAGACTTGGTCATTTAACCGAGGCTTTCTGTTGTTTACTCGTCCAGAGAGCAAAAAAATTAAACATCATATTTGTAAAAGAGAGCAGCAGCACAGTAGTGTCCTGAGAGCAGAGGTGTGTGTAGCCGCTTCAACACACACCTCTCACCTCCTTACTGGAAGAGGAAACCAGATACATGACAAAGAGAAACGCTATAATGCTGCTTCTTTGTCATCCTGTCTATGTTGAAGGCAACTGAGCAATAAATATGGGTGTTACTCTAGAAAATAAAAACAAAGAATTACTTAAGAGAAGAATATATACATAAATACAAAATACATATATAAATAATTTACAGGAAAAAAACGATGAGTATTGGAACACATGACTCAAACAATGGTACTTACTGAATATGACATCCAACAACCTGGGTTACACTCATGTACATGACAGACAAACATGTGTCAACTGGTAAAATTATAAAAAATATAACTCAATCGGATAATGAAAAAAATTAACAGAACAATTAATACTGAAAATGCAATTAAAAACGAATTAGAAAAAACACAAAGTTTTATTAAAATAATTTCAAACTACAATAGAAGTGACGTCTGAGGGTATAGAGAAGAGAGAACAGATGAACCGAGGATTAGCAATAAACGAGGAATAACTAGAAAATAGGTAAATGGCGACGAAGACTATATAACAAAAATTAAGTTACCTTTACTGGAATATCAAAAGACTGAAATAAAATAGCAGTTACGTAAGTAGATGAATAAGACTCAGTCTTGAGACGTTATACCAACAAGTGACTTTTATCAATCCAATGCAAAAAATAATACTGGAGACGTTTGAGACGATCAGTCCCCCAGTCGTCATGAGTCTAGACTCGCAGTGGTCCTCACCCTTCCTACACAAGTGGGCCACATTTGATAGTCAAATGTGTGATGAGAGCAGCACGTATTTGTTGACACTGT